GCGCCGGGGCGGCAGGTGGGCGAAGGTAGCTGCGCAGAAGCGCGGAGAAGGTGAGTAGGGTCAGGAAGTGGGGGTCCCGGAGGACGTTCTCTTGATCTATAACAGGCCCTCGCGCCGAGATGTTCTTTCCACCGGGCCCTTATGTTTCACTGTGTACCTGCGGGATCCCGGCTGAGAGCTAAGCTGCAAAAGTGTGTTTACCCCACCGAGAGAGCAAAGCGGCTCCTAGCCACTCCCCCAGCCTGTGTTAGTGGCGACCCGACCCAGCAGCCCCAGCCAGGCGGTTGCCACCACACCTGGAGCCCCGGGAGCCTCTTCCTACAGGGAGGTCCTGTGTGTGACAGACTCCCACCCTTTCCTTCTGTCTCTTCAATCCAGGCAGAGAAGAGGCACTGAGACTCAGGGCACAAACTTAGTTTGAACACTGTAAACGCTGCTCCTCCAATGCTTTAAAATTGCACGTGCGTATTGTGGATGCATTGTGTTTTTTTTTTCGGGGCACGGTGGGCGGGAGCGGTGGTTGATGGCAGGATTGGGCCGATTGGCCCGCAAGGAGGGGTGGGCAACTCTGGTCTTTCGTGCCTGTTTTGGGCGCAGGCACAGCTTTTAGGATCTGGACCAGACGGTCCCTGCACTCTGGCTCCTGCTCAGGAAGGGGTGTCCCTACTCTGAGTCGCGCCCTACACTGTCCCCTCCTCTGCCCGGCTCCTCCTGGTGGCCCGACAGAGGGCGCCAGCTCCTGGTCGCCGCCCGGGCCAGTGGAGAGGAGGGGATTTGTGAGCCTCCAGGTAAGGAGCGTAGTGAATCATCCAGCGGCGGGGGTGGGGTGGGTGATCTGGGCACAGTTGCAAAGAGGCGGCAGTAGCTGTGATCCTGTCTAGGAGTCCCGGGGAGAGACTAGGCAAGGTGAGGAGTGGTCGGGTGCTCGGCGGTCCTGGGGATGCCATTTGCACCTCCCAAAGGTGGGGTATGGGGTCCGTTTCACGGCTGTTGGCTGTCCTGCGGGGGCGAGGCTGGAACCCGGAAGGCACTAGCTGGGATGGGCCGCGGGTCCACAGGCCGCTACCACCCGGTGCTGTTTTAGCTAGCGGGGTCCCAGGCGGTAACAAAGGCACTGTGCTGCTGCCGCTTCCACCCACTTCCCGACCCCCTGCCACTGCGGGGAGCTCGGGCAGTGTTTGGATTTAGTTTTGGAGAAGTTAGTTGAGAAGAGGGGCGGAGAAGAGGACTCCCAGGCCAGGGTACACGAGCGAACACAATTCCAATTTCGCGGTCTCCTCCCTTTCCCCAGCCGCCGGGGATTGCTTTGGCTTTTGAGCCCTGGGCCGCGCCTCAGCAGGACTTGCCTGGGTTTGAACTGGGCGCTGGGCGCGCCCTGACACCGCCTGCCCATGCCCCTCCCCGTGGTGTCTGCGCGTGTGCCTGCTCCACAAGGGCGGGGTTTAGCGTGGGTGACAGCCAGCAGCCCCCGCATCTAGAAAGTGGAGCCCCAAAAAGTGTTAATTGCATTATTGTGAGCAGCAGGAGGAGAGAGTCAGTCCCCGGGCCACAGTCTGGGTCTGGTGCAGGGTTAAGGACCTGCTGTGTAGGACTTGCAGACCTGTTTAAGTTAGTTTATTGCAGTTGCGGTACCGTGGAAGGGAAGAGGCCACTTGGTTTCTACCACTCCAACTCCATCTCAAGTTGTCACTCTACAGACGCTAGCACAGGCATAATTATTGTCGTGCTGATGGATGTCAGGGGAGCTTCCCTGTGTGTCTCAGGACCAGGACCTGAAGGGAGGAAGTGTTGCTTAAAAGAAAGTCATACAGGCACACTCTGCTGGCAGGTGCCCTCAGCCCCAGGGTCGGGACATAAGTCACTTTTTCACATCTCTCAGCCCAGTCTTACAACAGCCTGCTGCTTTAAGGGCGGGGCTGACTGGCTTTGATGACGTGCTTGGTACTTAGTAAAATCCCTCAGATTCTGCCTTGCACTTCACCGCTTCCTTCAGAGGGTAGGTAGGCTCTGGAAACTAAAGGTTAAAGAGGCCTAAAAGGTCCTCGAGTCAGTCCTGCTCTAGAATGGGCGCTGAGTGTTTGCTGTTGCAGAAAAGGCTGCCTGTTTCTGAAGAGGTTATGCTTGTTCTTGTTTTGTTATGTTGAGACAGGGTTTCAGACTGTAGCTCAGGCTGGTGGAACTCATGGCATACCTCTGTCTCAGCCTCCTGAATGCTGGGGTTTCAGGCATGCCGGGTTTTTGTTTGTTTGTTTGTTTGTTTGTTTTTTGTTTTTTGTTTTTTTCGATTGTTGAGTCCCTGCTGCAATCCTGGACACATTTGATCTTGTTGGACATTAGATGTCTTCCATTAATGCCACAATTTCAGTGACACCAACTTTCTGTGAAGTTTAAAGAATGTGGAAAAATTAAATCTTAAAAAATAAAAAAGCAACCTGTAGAACTACAGGACAGTCCTATGAAAGGAGTCACTGTTTTATGTGCTGCCTTGACAGGTAGACCTGGGGCCAGGAATTCTCCCCAGCACAGGACCATCATGCCCCGCCCTATGTGGCATGGCCACAGGGCTGAAAGTGTATGTTAAATAGAGAGCTTCTTTGGAAGTTCCTTTGTTAACAACCCTCCCCCACCCCAAAGTTTCTTTTACAGACCCTAAGAACATACTGTCACATTGTTCTAATAACACTAAACTCATGTTTAAGATATGGGACTTTGGTATGACCCTGAATGCTCCTTAAAATGTGTGGCTTTAAAGAGAGAGGTGCATGACTCTAGAATGACACTCTGAGGCTCAGAATGTCTTAGTGTTGTGCCAGCCATGGGGACACCTGGGATTAATAAGTGAAGACCAAACCTGTGGAGTCAAAGTGACTGGCCTCGGACTGCAGCTACCACTAATGCTGCCTTATCCAATTGCTCAGTCTCTCTGAGCTTCATTTTCCTCTTTTAAGATTGGGATAATAGTAGTCTAGCCTGATTTCCAGGTATAAGGATAAAATTAGATAATGTATATAAGATACTTGGCATGGTGCCCAGCACATAGTAGCTGCTCAACCAACCAATGAGGTCTAAGAACAGCATTCTACTTTCTTCCCTTCCATGTGACATGTAGACAGGTAGGGAAGGTGATAGCCTATAGCTTGCTCAACCTCACTCCACCCCCTTTTGTCAATTCTTCAGTATTGTGCACTGAGGGATTTCTCTTCTTTGTCAGCAAGCTGAGGGGGGAAAGTTGTTGGTGATGGAAACTTTGTCTACTTGCAGGAGGAATTTGCAAGGGCCTCCAGAACTATGAGGCTTTCCTCCTGGCCGCAGCACTGTGTAATTTTGTGGCTAGCTTTCCAGTCATTTCCCTTTCCTTTAGATTTAAAGCCAGTATGCAAATTACAACTAAGACAAGACTTTAAAAAAAAAAAACAACTTAAAACTGAACTGAGAAAAGGAAGTAAGTATTTTTTTTTCTGTCCAATTAGTGAGCCATCTACAATACTAAAGAAAAAAGAATCTGCTTCCGTGAAAATTGTGCCATCCCAACCTTGGAAAGAGGAGTCATTTTATTTGGAAAATGGGACTGTTTTCTGAATCTTGTTGATGGGGAGGAAGGGAAGCCTGAACTCTCCCTTCAGACATGTTTTCTCAAGTGTGGTAGACTGTATGACCTGAAAATTGCTGTGCTTTTAGAAGCTGCTGGAAGGAAGCATGTAGGGGTAAAGCTGAACAAACACGGATCAGCCAGGGCGTTCGTTTCACATGAGAAAACACTGGGAAAGTTCTCAGCTTCATAAGCCTAGATGGAGACATATTTTGCCCCGCTCTCCCCTATCCTCCCTTCTGTTCCGGATTTCATACCTATGGCTTTCAAAAATTTACAGGTTAAAACCTTGGAGACTCTGTCAAGCCATTCACAGTCATGGTGTGGTTCTGATAAGTGGTATCTTCTGTCTGTGCAATAGATGGGAGACAGAGAGAGTCTGTCATTGTGCAGGTTCCACATTTGGACATGAAATGGAGTTCTCTCCCCCACTGGGAAATGAGCTGGCCCTGTAACTGGTTGACAGATGTACAGGTTCCGAACACTGTACTCCCTCCCTCTAGCTTTGTGCCTCTAGCTCCATTTGTAGCCACTTGTTATGCCTCAGTGGGAAGCCTGAAGCAGCTGCAGGGCATGCGCCAGGCCCATACTGGGCTGTTGCTTCCTTTGTGGGGATGATGAACAGGCAGTGTTATTTTGGATCACATAGCAGCCTGTTCAAAAGCCTTGCATTCCCCAGCTGTTCCACCACGTCTTTGCATAAGGGAGAGAACTTGCCAGCTGCTAGGCCACTGAAGTTCCATTTACTGCCTTTGTCCAGTAATGGGGAGGTTAAAATCCAGGAACCCGTGTTAACATGCAGCCTTTTAAATAGCCTCACTTGTTTCTGTGAAGTCAGTGGTATTCCAGATAGAATTAGAGTTTGTCAGGACAAGACTTAAAAGCAAATGTCATACCTTTTTTCTTCAAGGTAAAGATTTTATTTTTTAATTGTGTGCATGCGTGTGTGTGTGTGTGTGTGTGTGTGTGTGTGTGTGTGTGTGTGTGTACATGTTGTATTGATATGCACTTGAGTGCAGGAGCCCAAGGAAGCCAGAAGGGGGTGTTAGATCCCCTGGAGTTTGTCAAGATAAGTCTTAAAAGCAAATGTCACAACTTTTTTTTTCTAAGTAACTTTTTGAAAGATTATATTATTTTATTTTTTCAATTATGTACATATGTATATATCTGTATATGGTCATGTAGGTGCTCCCAGAGGTCAAAAGAGGTAATCAGATTCCCAGGAGCTAGAGTTACAGTTAAGGGTGATTGTGATCTCCCAACATGGGTGCTGGGAACCGAAGTTGTGTCCTCTCAAAACAGTATACACTCTTATCTGCTGGACCATCCCTCCATCCCCTGAAGTTATTTTTAAAGGATGACCAGTAGGTATAGTTTTTTCATACTTAAAACATAGTCTGCTTTATATTTCATTGACTAATAAAATGTTAGATCTAGTGGTTCAATTACATGTTTTTAAAAACCTTGGCATATAGCCGGGCATTGGTGGTGCATGCCTTTAATCACAGCACTCGGGAGGCAGAGGCAGGCGGATCTCTGTGAGTTTGAAGCCAGGCTGGTCTTCAAGGGCTAGTTCTAGGACAGCCTCCAAAGCAATACAGAGAAACCCTGTCTTGAAAAAACAAAACAAAACAAAAAACCATTGACATATGAATCTGGCATAACTATATACATTGTTTTAGTGCGGTGCTAACGCTTCAACCCTTTAATACAGTTCCTCATGGTGTGGTGACCCCCCCACCATAAAATTGTTTAGTTGCTACTTCATAACTAATTTTGCTACTGTTCTGAATTGTAATGTACATAACTGATATGCAGGCTATCTGATATGTGACCCCTGCGAATTCATCATTTGACCCTCAAAGGGTTCATTACCACAGGAGTGAGAGAGGGGGAAATGATTAACACACACTGTATGTAGTTCTTAAAGAATTAATAGAACTATTATATTTGATTAAAAAAAAAAACCTGTACTAAGAATGGAATGCTTGTTGATGGGGAGACAGTTACTGTCACCACCTGAGCTTCTTCCTGCCAGCTCTTGCCCAGGATCTGAAGCATCCATCTTCATTAATGTGAACTGTGAGTTAATGGGCCTTCGACAGTCACAGAGTGATAACAGCTCTTCCTCTCTTGGGCTTTGGTTGACCTCCATCTCCTTTGCTCTGTGAGAAGTTATAAACTGGACACACCTCAAGG